GTCTGGCATTTGTGACTTTAATCTAGATTTCTAGACCACCACATGTGGAGGTTAAAAGCTTTAATGAAGTGAAAGGTGAAGGTGTTTCCATTAACTGAGAGCAACAGCAGTACCTACTTCAATTTCATAGAAGACTATTGTAATCTTCTTTCGTGTATTTTGTACTCTGCAAAAAAACATTGTACAAGTGTTTGAATTTGTCATAGAAATCAAGACAGGACAACTGTATTAGAAGTTTCCATGCTGAGTATTTCATACTTTCTAAGAAGCCAGACTTAAAGCAGTGGAAAAAATTCCTCATAGCAGACTGAAGAGCCCATTTTCTGCATTTATGCAGAAAGCAAATACACCTTGCATAGCTTACCTGTAACTCAGGGATAATATTCAGAACAATGTATCTGAAAAATAGCAGGAAAAATACTCAGGGAAAAGGCTCATATGTGAGCTTCAGATGCTTTCATGTTTTTGTCTGGTTTTAATGCACATTTGTTAAACTAAACCAGGTAAATATTACCCCTACACTTCCTACTGTCAGCTGGCACTCTGTGGCTGCTCTTCACTGTTCCTAATGTGTCTCAATCCTGTAACAGTTGGCTCTTCCTGGAAATGTGAGAAATGATTTGATTTGAGTTAGGCACCAAAGCTGTTTTTTAATTCCAGATCACAAGTTTAATTAAAGTCAAATGTGGTATTAAAAACAAAAAACTATGGAGACTCTGGAATGCTCAGTGGAGTTTATGGTTCCAGCACATGATTCATGTTCCACAGACACTTGACCAACTCCTTGCTCTTGCAGCATGTTACTGGCTCTGGGATTTCACAGCAATGTCAGGGAACTTCTTTTCCAAGATCTTCCGTCTTGTCCTCTCCATGTTCTGCTGCCTTGCTCTTTTCCGTAAGGCTTTTTCAAGTCTGAGTCTGAAACAGAGAAGTTGGTGTGGTTCATTTCCAGCCAGCTTGTAACCACTTTAATGAGCTCCCCCCACAATCAGATAGAGCCTCTCAGTGATTAACACCTTCAGTATTAATTTGCTTTTGACAAGTAAAAAAGCATGCGAAGTTTTACTCTGCTTCTGAATTCTACAGAGGTTCAGCCTCTGGGAGGATTTTTGATAGGCTGCATTTGAAGTTACTTCTACAGTGCCACTGCATAATCATGTACCTTAGTAACTAAGGTGGGAACAGAAAAAAAGAAACAGTGCAAGCTGTAATTTAAAAAAGCCTAATTTTCAGTCTAGTAGCTGAAAAACAAAAGATTACAGCTATTTTTTCCTTTTAAAGTGGAATAGGGCACAAACAGATCAGAAGATAACTTTCAATATCAGAATAATCTTTACCTGATGAAGTGATTCACATGAGGTAAGTAATAAAATCTCTTCTTTTTGTGTTTTTTGTTCAAGTGCCATGGTATTGGCCATTCCTTGTAACTATACCTGTTGGAGACAGATAAAAATTATTACAGAATGTACACACTGTCTTAATTCTAGGATTTTACCAATTTATCTTGTTTTCAAGTACAGTGATAAAGTGGTCTGGGAGATCACAGCAGACTTTGTATGTGGGTATTTATTTCCAGCTCTTGCTAGCTTGGTTTGTAACTGTATCTCCTGTGTTCTGTACAGTCTGTGCGTCCTTCCTTGATTAAACAAGGATTTTCTGGGAGAGAGACACACCACTAGAAAAATTCACAAAAAACATAAGGTTTTCATACCAGAACGTGCGTCCCAAGAAGTCGTGTCTCCACTCGCCAGGGACTGGCTTTTCATGGCCTGTCTGTAAAAGCCTCAAAGCAATTTCTCTTTCTCTGACAACCAGGTCTATATTTTTCATAGACGTTTCTACCTGCAAATGGTAAAAAGTTTCAGGATGCACCAACAAAAAACAATGCTGAAAATTTAAAAGATCTCAAAGACTTAAGACAAAATTTAAAGGGAAAACAAAGGTAAAACATGCTGGAGCTTGATCATGAGTTCTCTGTCAGCAGGCCCTGTGTACCAATAAGTAAGGAATGGGTGCTTCAAAAACCTAATTTGAGAGCAGGACAGATACAAAATAACTGACAGTCTGATATCTGATTGAAGACCAGTTGGGTAATGACAGATCCAATGCTGATGCAGAAGTATAGGAAGCTCTAAGGCAGAAGGAAGCAGGAGAAGCAAACAGAAGATTTGCTTATGGTTTGTAGTGGCTGTTGGTTATTTTAGTTTTCACTGGAGTCTGGTCTCAGCCCTAATAATGCTCACTGGACAATGAGAAAGCTGCCTTGACCAAATTGTAACTTGAGCAGTTAGTGTATACACTAAAATCAGGGAAATAATTTTAACAAATGGTCTTTAACAAGTCTACAAACACTTGATCTTTCAGCAATTTTACTTCAGAGTTATAGTTTTTATGTAGTAAGAACAAGTCACCTTTTCTAATCGTTCTGGACTTGGCATAGGCTTGCACTGTCGTTTGGACTCTTGCTCTAAAGTTAAAAGCATGTTCTTTTCTTTCAGCAGGACATACCTAGAGCAGAAAGCACAGTAATTCAAAAATAACTTCTGGATAGCTAAGCAGTTATTCACTTACTAGCTGTAATCCCAAATCCTGTACCTGCTGGCTCCACATAAAGAACCAAAAGAGGAGAATGAGGGAGGACAGCTTTACTTAGTCTGGAATAAAGAGGGCTTAGGAGGGAAGAGTTTAATACTAAGTTGTCTTCCACTACCTGGACAGAGCCAGATTCTTCTTACATGTACACAAGAAAAGGACAAGTCAAAGCCAGGAAAAAGCTGTTCACAGTAATGATTTAAGTTCAGTCTGAAGTGGCAATGCAACCTCCAGCTTTAGAAACTTCCAAAATCAGAATAAATGAAGACTTGAGCACCCTGATGGAATTAAGTACCCACACCACTAGTAAGCACTGACAACCAAGTTTGTCCAACCCAAACAACCCCCAGAGGGACTGTACCAAACCTGAGCCCTCTGAACTAGAAACAACTGTTCCACAGCCACCTGCAGTGCAGCTTCTGTGTCCTGAACAGGGCCAGGACTGGGGCTGTTCCAAGCCCAAAGCTGGCTGGAGCCTGCAGAGCTCTGTGGCAGACTAAAGTCACTGGATCATAAATTCACCAGCCATATTTTATTAGAAAGTGCAGAGCTGTTCTGAAAGAAGAGAAGCCTCTTCACTAAAACTTATTTACCAAAGTTTGTGCAAGTCTTCACTACTCTTGCCCCTTAGCTGCTTTATATTCCATGAATCCCCTGTAAAAGATGAAAAAACACCATTAATTTAATGGAGCAATTCTCTTATTCTGGAGAAAAAAAATGTGCTTCTATTAGGCTCAGCTGACACAACAGTATAAAGACTACTTTTAAAATACTACTGCTTGGACAGCCATCCTTGAGGATATTCAGCTTTGCTTTTAAAAGACAATACAGAAAGCCAATTACACATAGCATATATTTGTGTTTGTAAAAGGCTGGGAATACGGAAAGCTGTCAGATGAATCTTTACACTGAACTAGTTTTCTTCCACACTACGTATATTTCATGAATATGTCTTCTGTGATACACACTCACTTCAGAGCAAGGCAGAAGATTTACAGTGAAACATTTTGCTGCACAATTGCTATTTGCTTTTATAAACACTGTGAATACACAAAATTAACACAAAAATTAACAGGCATAAAGACAGACAAATGGATGTATGTACATATACACAGTAAAATAAGTTTTATGTAGCTATGAAGGCTCCCTATGATGTAAAAAAAACCAGGTCAGATTTCAGCTCAAAGATCACTATCAGAAATGCTAAATATAACTCACCAGACTTTACACTTTTTTCCCCCCAGTTTCCTGGATCATCAAAAAACTCCTCCAGACCCCTCCGAGACACAGTTGTGTGCAGGAACTTCACTTGATGGAGGGTCTCAATTTTTGGTAGGTTCTTGTGGTACAGATTCAGTGCCGTCCTGCAGAAAAGTTAGAAGGAAAACTGTATATGGTAAGAAAAATAATATTCTGCTAAATGAGAATGTTTGTTTCATTCAAAAAGGCACAGGTCCTAGAGACCACAGCCTGCAGGGAAGCAGGGGTTTGGTTAGTCACAAAAATGTCATCTTGGTGTTTTCTCCTCCCCCTCATCTCATCTAATTATCAATTTTCTATACTTTGAGATAAATAACAACTAAAAATTAAGGAATAAATTTGAGCTATGCTGTACAAGAGTACATCATAGGATCACAAAATTTTTAGCATTGGAAAGGACCTCTGGAGATCATCCTGTCCAAAAACCCTGGCAAAGCAGGGTCACCTGGAGAAGGTGACATAGGAACGCATGCAGGTGGCTTTGGGGTGCCTCCAGAGGGAGAATCCTCCACCGTGGCATTAATGGCAAAAGCTATGAATGCGCGGGAATGCACAAACCCCACCCACGCTGGAAACACCAGCACAATGACTGCAGGATTCTACAGGCACAGGGAAACGCTTCCCGCTGCCCTTACACGATGCCTGCAGCCACGCACCACCCTGCAGCCCTCAGGCTGGCGGAGCCAGGACTCACGGACACCCGCCTCCCGACAAAGGCTCTCCTTCCTCCCGGGAACCGCGCCCGCCCCTCCATGTCGGAGCCCGCGTCCCCCCGGCGCAGCGCGTACCCAGGGAGTCCCGAGCGAGCCCGGGGCAGCCGCAGCGCGGCCGCGAGGCTCCGGCCCAGCGCGGCCATGGCCGCGCCCGCCGCCATCGCACCGCGCCCTCCCACAGCGCCGGGGGCACGGGGCGGGCGCTGCCCTTCCCTAAGATGGCGCCTGCCCGGCCTCACCCCGGGCTCTCCCGCTGTACATGGAGCGCAGGGAAGGCTCTGCCCTTTTCCAAAATGGTGCCTGCGCGGCTTCACCTCCTTACCCTCCCACTGCGCTGGGGGCACTGTGAAAGCTTTGCCCAGCCCAAAGATGGCGGCTGCCGGCTTCACCCCGCGGCGGGAAGCGGCGCGGCCGGCCCCGCCCCGTGCCAGGCCCAGCCATGGCGGCCATGAGCCGGGTGCTGCGGGCGGCCGCGGCCTGGGCGGCGCGGCGGGCGAGCTGCGCCGGCACCACCGGGATCACCGGCACCACCGGGATCACCGGGATCGCCCCCCGCCTCCCCGGCATCCTCGGTACGGTCCCGGCGGGGAGCGGCGGGGCGGGGGCGATGGGGGCGAGGTGACCTTGCGGAGTGGGACAGAGGTGTTCTCCCGGAGGCCGCGGGAGGGCCGGGGACTGAGCAGGTGGAGTGTTGTGTCCCCGTTCCTATGAAAAACTACCGGGTTTGGGTGAAAAATGGATGGAAACGGGCGGGAGGCCGACCCTCCTGGCATTCTCATTGTCCATTTACTTGGTCCTTTATGGTGACATTCACTGTTTCACGTGTTGGTGCTTATAGGTAGACAGAGATCTCTGTCTATAATTAGAAGAGAAACAGCTTCCTGCTAACAAAATGCGAAATAACTTCAGGCGAACTGCAGAAAACTTAGCCGCTGTTTTACACTTTTTTTTTTTATTTTTTCTTCCTTTCCCCACATATGTTTGACCTTGTCCTGGCATAAGGCCCAATGGGGTACAAACCCATAATACTCTGGTTCAATTTTCAGTTCCTGTACGACACAGTGGTGACCATGGGAAGAGAATGTTTATCATCAAGGCAACAAGTTTTTATGATTCTCGATTTCTGCGCTTGTTGGTGAGTTAAAAATCAAATGTATGGCATTCAGTGTAACACATTACTTTCAAATGGTGTAAGAGTGTCTAAAATACAATTTCCTCTGTTTGTGCAATAGCATCTAAAATGTGGCTGGCACTATTTACATAAAAAAGAATTTCAGGGCCTTTTTAAAAGTTTTTTGGTCGTATGCTGTAAAATCAGGGGCAGATGAAGTTCAAAGACTGGCTATACAACAAAGGCTATGATAGGTTCTTAAATTACTGCTGTAGTAGCATTCTTAAATTACATGTCTGTGTTTATATATACATGGCCCACGAATGCTTTCTACTTCATCCTCCTTTTTGAAACATCAGTTACTCTTCTGTAGGGTTTGCCTTCACTTGTCTATACCACTAACAACATAGGTGAGATTTAGGAAGCCTGACCTGAGTTTGACCCCTCCAAAGTCAGGTTTTGGATAAATCCTATTACAAGCAGCAATTTGATACAACTCCCTTCATGTGATAAGGACTCCTTTTATCTGCCTTCCACAGCTACAGAACCCACAATGGTTGCATTGGTGTTGGATTATTGCTTTGCTGTCAGTGCCTGAGTGCAGCTGAGTGCTGGAGCCAGTCATGCCAAGATGCTGAGGCAGATTTCAGGGAGGTGTTGCTGTTTGCTGCTGCACAGACTGGCCTCACTGGGAGATGAGAACTGACCTGAACAGGCTCTTGGGCTGACACAGCATCACTTCTGTGTGTTCTGGTTCATTAATTAACTCATTACAATCAGCACTGTTTACATACAACTTCCCTCTCCAACCTAGGAACGCAAATCTAAGAGTTATTTGCTGTTGCACCATTTGCAGACATTTTCAGCTCTCATGTAAATTTTGTCAGGGTTCTGAGTTTCCCACACTGACTGTTTTTATCCCCTCTACAGAGATTCTATATATTCCTGACGGGAATACCAGTGGCCGTGCTCTTAACATATATCAATGTATTTGTTGGTGAGTGCTCTGTCAGGGCTGAGCAAAGTACAGTCCAAGTTATTAAATGGGAATTAAGCATGCAGGATAGGGAAAAAGGACTCTTTTAGGGCTCTCTCTTTGGAAGACCATGGAGTAGGACTAACAAATACAAGTGATATTGTATAAGTACATAGAAAATGTTCCCAATATATTTGCTTTAGTTGTTGCTTTTTTTAAAAAATGTTTCTCACGTTTTAAAAAAAATACATTTCCTCTTTTGGCAGTCTTTCAAACATCAGTGAAATTTAGTAACTTGCTTTAACAAGACTGCAACTCTGGCTTTTTATCTAGCAAAGATGCCAGAATTCTGCTTGGCAACACGTGTGTTAAATCTACTGCTGTAATGATATGTAATTAATTTAATAGAGAAATCAAGAAAAGTTCATGCTTTCACCTCCTGTACTTCAAAGGGCATTTCTGTGGACTTGATCCAAGTTGTTTCTTCTGTATAGCTGCTAATTTTACCCTTTTGGTGTGTCACTTAAAATCTGTGAGTAGATACTTTGCAATGTGATGTGTCCTGCAAAAATTGCAAGTTCAGTTTTTCTGAGTAGAGCTCGCACTGAAGGGTTTAGTGCTCTCTGTGGAATATTGATCTTCTTATCTGAAAGGATATGTAAGGTAAAATGAAGGAAAGTAATAATAATAGTAATAATAATAGTAATAATAATAATAATAGTAGTAGTAGTAATGGATATATAAGGTAAAATAAAAGAAATATAAGGTAGCTTTGGAAAATAATCAGAGAATTGAATATTTCTCCCCTCCTTTCTTTGTCAGGTGAAGCTGAACTTGCAGAGATTCCTGAAGGTTATATTCCAGAGCACTGGGAATACTACAAAGTGAGTGTAACATGCAAAAGGGTGGGCATGTTATGGACAGCCTTTCTCTTGATGATACTTTTGGGAGTAAAATGTATGGAGTATGGTGATGTCTGTCATTGTAGTAAAACTCAAACAGTGCAGTTCTGATTTTGGTAAACTTTTTTGCAGCTTTATGGAGCTTGTAGAAGGCTGTAGGAAATGTTTATTGACATAAGCAGATGCAAATGCTCTGTATGCAGTAAACTGCTGAAGCTGTATGCCAAGAATTTTTCTATAATATTCCTAAATAGTAAGAAAAGTCCAATGCATTTATAATGTGCAGGTTTTGTCTTAATTTTTTTTCTACAATGCCTCAAGAAACTGTAGTTTAAAGTGACATTTATTTCTTTTGTGTTGTTTGCTACTATTGTTTTAAAGTCCAATATCACACACACTTTTAGATCTAGAATTGGAGATTTCTATAGTCAAAAAGTCAAGGTTGTATGGTATCAATTTAATTATATTTTCTTAAAATTAGTCCCCAGCTTCTTGCTGCAAGCAAGCAGGGTTTGTTTCTGACAGGAAGTAATTGAATTCAGCAATATTATTGTGACTGTTTCAACTCATTTAGACTTCTGTTCCTAGTGAAATGCCCTCTATGTGGAAGCAAAATTTTGAAATGTTGCTGCTTACAGTAAAGTTTGGGGTCCACTTCTGTGATTACTGTGGTAGTTTAAGGAACTTTAACAGAAAGAAAATAAATTCTGTCTTCTGTTAAATTTTAATTTTGCTTAAGAACAGTCATCTGCAGGTTATCTTGGCGTTAAGAATTGCAAAAGACATGACTTTTTAGGGTTTGGATCTTGCAAGTAGTTGTGCATGTTTGTAATTTTACTGTTACGATTTGAATGGCAGCACTCACGGTGTCCATGACATCTTTTCAGGACAGTGGATATACAAAGTGATTCAGTTATGATGACATTTCTACTTGGAAATTGCATAAATAATCTCTGCTGTTACGTTTTGCAGCACCCCATAAGCCGCTGGATAGCTCGGTACATACTTGACCCCCCTGAGAAGAACTATGAGAAGGACATGGCCCTGCTTGATGTGGAAGCGAGGAAAACTGAACTGAGGTATGTTCTCTAGTTGGGGGGGTGGGTTAAAAGCCTGATCCATACTGTAGCTGACTCTTTGATTTTGCATGATATACTGAGCTGGATGCTGACATAAAGTGCTTTCATGTATCCCCTGAGTGCTGCCTGCACTGGCTGCTGCCAGAGTGGGAGTCACAGTATCTGTTGTCACTGCCCTCTCAGGATTCAGGTTACCAGAACAATCCAAGGGCAGGGGGTCTTCAAAACACTTGGTATTTATAAAGGTGTAGCTCTGTCTTCCTGAGTCAGCAAATAAAGCTCTTTTTGCCTCTACTAATGCTCACAGCTTAGAGAACCTGTGATAAAACTGCCAGTGTTTTTATTACTCCTTTGTGGAATGAGTTGCAATAAAAAAAAAAAAGAAAGATTTAGTAGCGCATGTCATAGTTGAACCCTTCATATTGTGGTCCTACCTATGTTTTAGCAGTGTTTATAAACCATTAATGCTAAAGTCATTGCTTTGTCTGTTATGCTCAACATCAACCATCTTCATATTGAGGGTGTCTATTGCCTTTTTTTTAGGATTCTGGAGTTGGAAGCACGCAGACTGATGAGACACCGGGGAGATGGACCTTGGTTCCATTATGAAACGCCTGACAAAAATCTTGTTGACAATTCTAATAAATCCACACCTGACAATTAAACTTTAGAGCAGTGTGCAAGGTCTCAAATGCATACTGGCAAATCGTGACTGCGCTATGGAACAGACATCCTGCTATTTGCTGATGAAAATGAATAAATGGTGTTTGTGTTGATTCCACTATCTTGAAAGAAACTGTGTGGCAGTTAAGCTCACACAGCTATTAAAGTTAATAAGTGAAAATGCTTTATGTCAATTGCCAACAATCACTCCTTTCCTTCAGAACATATGTACATGAAACAAGTCGGTAATATTAGTTTTCATGTTGTGATTTCTAGCATTTATAGTATTAAGTGAAAGATACAAGAAGCTAAGGGGTTTTTTCATTCTCAGTGCTTTGTGTCAGGTAATTGGTGGGAGATGAACTAAATAAGTACCTTCACCCATACCTGCCATGCATTTTCAGAACTGTACAGCTGTTCTTCTACACCACTTGGTAACTCTTCAGGGAATACAAAGAGTTCTCTTACCACCCAGCAGGTTTTTGCCACTAGAGGGATGTATTTCCTCAGGTTCTAGAGGCCATGGTACTCCTAAATTTCTCAATAGTGATGGAAAGTGCCTCTTACAATTTGTGACTTTAAATTATCTGTCCATATTCAAAATCCTCAATTTTTAAAGGAAAAAAGCCCAAACACTTTACTAAACTCGTATCAACTAGTGATTTGAAACTTGAAACTCTGGTTTTTTGGTTTTTTTTTTACATTAGGCAACACTGCATAGACTATTTTAAGCAAAAACTGCCTTGTTTGTTCTTTCCTGGCATTGCCAAACATTAGAAAGACATTGATTTTCTATCAGTGCTTTGCTCGTCCTTTTTGTTAGAATCAATCTTTCAGGCTAGATGGCTTGTATGTCTTATTATGGCTCTCATTGTTTATAAATGCTGAGTTATTCATAAGAGAAGCCATTAAAAAAGCACAAAGTCTCCTCAGGTAAGATAAATCTGTCTGACCCTGTACTAGTGTTTTTTATCCAGCATCCAGTGATGCTCACAAGTCTGATGTAATGTCTGTTTTTCAGTATGTCTAAAACCACTCCATGGACATCACATTCTGCCCTCAGTGTTTCACATTGTTCCCAACACTTGATTTTTCAGTAGTAAAAATTGCTGAGAACAGACTGCTACTCTGCTCACCCTCACAGCCTGGTCATAGCTGGGTACAAACATTTTTCAGTTCTTGAAATTTTCCCAGAAGCACCTTTTGAAACTTAATTTTGGGGGAAAAGCTAGTTCTAGCAAAGGTCACATCATTTCCTTGGAAGTGATCAATGTGTCCTTGGATATATTGTGGATGATGGGTGTAAGGCTATTCATCTGCTCTATACATCTTCATTTTAAAAGGACTGGTCATTTCTTTAACACTAGCTGCCAGGCATATGTAGTAGTTACTAGATACTGCTTGAAAACAATAGCAATATTTTTTCTCTTACAAAGTTCACTCTTATTTCTCATTTCTCTGACATTCTTTCAAAGTGAAGAGCAGAGAGAAACACAGCAAAGGTCCAAAAAAGGCATTTTAAGGTAAAGGTAGTGCCCTTGAAGACTTGAAATTGGGGGTTGGCTGCTGGCACTTCCATAGGTTTCTCAGACATCCCAGGCTGGGCATTCCCGCCCTGTATCCCCCTACATGGAGCAGCTTCTCTTGGCAGTGGGGACATCCCACCTGTCAGCAGGACCCGGTGGGACTGTGCAGAGCCATGTGAGACACCTGTACTGCCACAATGAGGGGCTGAGAATGAAAATACAGAGATTTTTTTCACTGTATTTTATACGAACATATATACATATAAAAATATATATACACATATATATATACTTATACATTTGTACTTATATACATTTATATGTATATATACATATATACACACATATATATACACATACATATATGTATATATACATATGCATACATACATGCACACACATATATATGTATACACACACACACACACACATATATATATATATGTATACACACACATATATATGTGTAGTCTTCAGAAGTTTAAAAATAAATAATAGAGCGTATAAAAGAGTATTACCGGTCAGAGGAAAACCTGCCCCGGGCTACCCGGGGAGACCAGGGGTGAAGTCTCCGAGCTGCCCCGCGGGGAGCGAAGCTTTGCGGGTGAAACGCGGGGCCTCGGCGGGAATCCCGCCCCGCTGCCCTGCCCCTCGCCCGCCCCCGCCGGGACCCCCGAGTGCCGCCGCCGCAGCTGGTGCCGCTGCCGCTGCCATTGGATTAAAAATAGCATCTTCCCTCCCCCTGCCCTCCCTCGGGCCCGGCTCCCGCCGCCGCCCTGCCCCGGGCCCGGCTGCCCGCCGCCTCCATCGCCCGCGCAGAGCGGCTCGGCAGGGAGGGCGGGCGGCCGGGAGCAGGGAGGGAGGGAGGGCAGCAGGGAGGGAGCGAGGCGAGGAGGATGCAGCGGGCCGCGCTCTTCCGCGGCGGCGATGCGCAGATGGCCGCCGGGGACTTGGGCGAGCTGCTCGTCCCCTACATGCCCACGATCCGGGTGCCCAAGTCAGGGGACCGGGTCTACAAGACGGAATGTGCCTTCTCCTACGACTCGCCCGTGAGTGCAGCGAACCACCCCCGGCTGCCTCCGCGTCCCCGCCCGCCGCGGCCCCTTCCCCTCCCCGCCGCAGCCCCTCGCACCCTCCCCGGGCCGCTGCCTCCCCCTCAGGCTTCAGAGTGCCCCCGATCCCCTCCTGCACCTGCCGCGGCCCCCTCGCCCTCCCGCTGCTCCCCACGGCCGGGGTCGCTCCCCTCACATCGCTGCGGCTCGTCCGCGGCAGCGCCGCTCCTTCCTGCGCTTGTTTGTTTATTTTCCTCCTTCAAGGCGCTCTGAAGTGGTTGCTTGGACACGGGGATTTTGTGGTTTTGGGGAAACTTCCCCTGCTTGCTCTGGTTGTCGGGGTCTGTCTGCTCCACCCGGAGCCCCGCTTTTGCTTTCACACCGAGGTAGTAAAAAAGGGAGAGTAATGGCCTTCTCGTTGGTGTATTTTGGCGAGCAGATGTCAATTAATTTGCTTTCCTATTGCCTCGGTGGTCATTCTATTCAAAATCTTCCGAGAAAGCTTCCGAGGTAAAGGCTCATTCTGAAAATTGGTGTGAAAGTTCCCCTGAAACACTTTCTCCCCCAGGGTTTCAGTTACATCGCTGAACTTCAATGAACTTGTAGTATTTCCCCACTAGCTTGGTTCCTTTGCTGTTAGATAAATGTTTCATGTGCAGTAAACTTTCTGTGGTGTTATTTCTATGGTGTCTTACAAAATATCCCCCAGCTCCACAGATCGCATGGGTTCCATGGCGGCTTTGGGGCCTGACTCAATTTCTAATTCCACTGCTAATACTGGAAGCCTTCATAAATGGGCAGTGCTTCGTAAGAAACAGGCGCTTAGAAATTAGACTTTTTCAAAAGAGGTTGAAAATTTGATTAAAAGTTGCTTCTCAACGGGAAACTGAGGTTTCCCAAAGGTGATTGAGCGCTATATGTTGATGTTAACGTCAATGGCAGCAATCAGAAGGAAGCTCATTACATTACAGAATATTCATTGAAAGAAACATTTCAGACACATTTTTGGAATCCTTTATCCCCTTCTATTTGATAATTCCCCCACTTTTTGATAATTCTTTTTAATACAGAATATCAGACTTGATTTTAAAGGTGACTCAGCTGTCTGGTGTTCATCATGTCTTGTTGAACAGGGTTTATTTTTACCCACACTCTTCAGATCTCAAGTGTCACCCAGCAGCCCTGACTGTACTGGGAGCTGGACTGATTAGAACTGCCAAATCGGACTCCACCGCAGAGGCGATAATTGCATTACATACTTAAGAAGGTTTTGGCGGGGGAAAATCAATACACCACATTCTTTCCTTCAGATTTCTGCTTGGGTGAACACATGCTTGATGTTTTTAGTAAGACTTTCAGTCTTCTTCAATATTATGGTTTATAAAAAGTTTCTGTTAACAAGTAGGAAGGAATATAAAATACTGCTACAGATTAAAAAACAATCAATCATCACGCCCTGCAACAAGCCTTAGTTGAACACAGCAAAAGCTGTGTTTAGCTAAACAGTATGTTTGAAGAAAACATGAAACATTTGAGCCAAACTTAACAGAAACTGTGGCTAAAAGTAGCAAAAGGAGTGGGAAGCAGCATGTATGATTTTTTTTTTTTAACTGAAATTTTTTTCATCCTTTTGACATTATCAGGAAGAGATTTCAGATTTAAGAAAGTGTTGCTCTCCAGTGTAAAAGCTTCTTGTTTATATTGTGTTATGGGCATTCACTGGGCAAAAGGCTTGGCTGAACTTGTGCAGTACCGGTGAAAATAAAAGCAGTCTCAGTTTCTAATGTTTCCCCCAGCTTTTCAGCCCATATCACTCCTCTGCTTAGCTGGGTGAAATATTTGCCTCGGATTTTATTTAAAATACCCATATAATCTAATAGATACTTGGATATTGTTTGTAGTATAGAGATTCTAAGGGACATATGTAATGTGTGCTTTCTAGGGTAAAACACTGTCATTTACAAACTGAAAACAGCAAAGCTGTGTTTTTGCAGTTTTTCATTCAGAAGGAAAGTGAAAGTGTCTGATACAGACAGGTTGTTTCTTGGCTAAGAGGAAATGTTTATGTTTTGTAGTAGGTTGATTTTGTGACTTATTTTCTTAGGCTATCAATGTATTACCTAAGCGAGCCTTTTCCTCTTGAGACACCTGCCTCTTTGTGAAAGAAGATACACTGTTGGCCCTGTTGTAATGTTCAAGAATTTTAAAAAACACACTCTTGGTTTTGTTAGCCATGCTAAAATTCAAGATTGCTTTTTTGCTGGAGGAGGTTTTTCCCTTGTAAGAATATTTCTCAGTATTTCCTCACCATCTCATTTTGCCATTTTAAAATATGCTCCTTGTTACAGTTTAACTCCAGCATGTCATGTCCTGCCTGGTCATGCAGCGGCTCTACAGTCAAGTGTCTTTAGCTATATTAATTGTATATTAATGTTTTTCCTGTAAGGATGTGTTGTGATCTTTAAAATAAACTGAAAACCATCAGACCTGTGAATGTTTGGGTACAGAGTAATGTTATTATTGTAGAGAAAGATGCTGCAGGAAATTTGCAAGGGCCAAACCGAGTGGAATGGTCAAAATCAGAGCTTTTCCTGTCAGGGGGTGCCAAAG